CGTAACTAGAGGTACCACTGTAACTTGACTGACAAAAAAAAAAAGGGAAATATTTTACCACCCTTATTGAGTTAGCCATGCCATCCAGCAGCCCCTTTTAAGGCTACTTACTCCCTTTTAGGGAAGAGTGTTTGCCAAGACCATTTGAAAGGCTATTTTGAAGAATTCTCGCAGCATTTGGCAGACAAAACAGATTGGAGAACAGCTGGACTCAAGCTGGACTGCACCAGTGGAGATGATTGCAGTGGAGATAATTTTGGGTCTGGGAGTCCCAAGGAAGCGGTCAAGCCTTTCTGCAGTGTTAGTTCCACCATTTCTCAGTGGGATCCTTGCCCTCATAACTGTCTAAGGCATCTTATGAAGTAGAGGAGATTGGCTCCAAGAAGCAGTCAATGCCTCCATGAGTGAGAGGCTGTTTCCATCACCTCTGAAGAAGGCTACAGTGTGACCCCTGCCTTTACTTGGTCTGACAACTTTAGACCCATCTCCAACCTTCTTTTTCTTTTTCTACAACTGCAAAGAGCCCTAGAGGAAACAGATTATTTAGATCCTTGGGAGTCAGGGTTCCTGAAGGGGTGGTTCCAGCCAGTGCTGGGGGGAGGTTACCTGGAGAACTCTACTCTGTGGAGTGCCTTGAGGATCTCTCTTTACTCCTTTTTAACATCTACATAAAACCACTGGGGAAGGTCCTCCATCAGCACGGTGTATAGTACCATCAAGAAGTTGATGATATCCAGTTATGTATCTCATCTCCAGGCCAAACAAGTGATGCATTGGAAGTGCTGACCTAGTGGCTGGTGACTATTAGAGTCTGGAAGGGGAAGATCGCTCTCACTGCACCTCTCTAGGATGGAGTGGCTTTGAGCTTGAGATGATTCCATGGAAATTCTGTCTTTGATTCTGAATAGAGTTATAGTGCCCCACTGAAAAGTGATCTTCAGTTAGAGGGTTCTACTCACCGTCATTCATGTCCTAGGACCTCCCGTTTGGATTACTGTAATATGTTCTCCATGCGGCTATCCCTGCAGAACCTCCAGAAGCTACAGCTTTTACAGAATGCAATAGCCTAGGCGGCAGTGGATAAATCCTGATATACTTGGGTTTCCCTACTGCTTCAGGAGCTACAGTGGGGCAAAAAAGTATTTAGTCAGCCACCAATAGTGCAAGTTCTCCCACTTAAAAAGATGAGAGAGGCCTGTAATTTTCATCATAGGTATACCTCAACTATGAGAGACAAAATGAGAAAAAAAATCCAGAAAATCACATTGTCTGATTTTTAAAGAATTTATTTGCAAATCATGGTGGAATATATAACAAAGTATTGAGATGAACTTTTGATATTGACCAAATACTTATTTTCCACCATGATTTGCAAATAAATTCTTTAAAAATCAGACAATGTGATTTTCTGGATTTTTTTTCTCATTTTGTCTCTCATAGTTGAGGTATACCTATGATGAAAATTACAGGCCTCTCTCATCTGTTTAAGTGGGAGAACTTGCACTATTGGTGGCTGACTAAATACTTTTTTGCCCCACATATATAACAAAGTATTGAGATGAACTTTTGATATTGACCAAATACTTATTTTCCACCATGATTTGCAAATAAATTCTTTAAAAATCAGACAATGTGATTTTCTGGATTTTTTTTCTCATTTTGTCTCTCATAGTTGAGGTATACCTATGATGAAAATTACAGGCCTCTCTCATCTGTTTAAGTGGGAGAACTTGCACTATTGGTGGCTGACTAAATACTTTTTTGCCCCACATATATAACAAAGTATTGAGATGAACTTTTGATATTGACCAAATACTTATTTTCCACCATGATTTGCAAATAAATTCTTTAAAAATCAGACAATGTGATTTTCTGGATTTTTTTTCTCATTTTGTCTCTCATAGTTGAGGTATACCTATGATGAAAATTACAGGCCTCTCTCATCTGTTTAAGTGGGAGAACTTGCACTATTGGTGGCTGACTAAATACTTTTTTGCCCCACATATATAACAAAGTATTGAGATGAACTTTTGATATTGACCAAATACTTATTTTCCACCATGATTTGCAAATAAATTCTTTAAAAATCAGACAATGTGATTTTCTGGATTTTTTTTCTCATTTTGTCTCTCATAGTTGAGGTATACCTATGATGAAAATTACAGGCCTCTCTCATCTTTTATTTTCCACCATGATTTGCAAATAAATTCTTTAAAAATCAGACAATGTGATTTTCTGGATTTTTTTTCTCATTTTGTCTCTCATAGTTGAGGTATACCTATGATGAAAATTACAGGCCTCTCTCATCTTTTTAAGTGGGAGAACTTGCACAATTGGTGGCTGACTAAATACTTTTTTGCCCCACTGTACATTGGTTGCCACTTGGCTTCAGGATGCGATTCCAGATGCTGGTTGGCCCTTTTAAGGCTTTCTGTGCTTCTGGGCCTAGTTATCCGAGGGACTGCTTTCTCCTGTCTTTATCTCCCCATCCAACCAGCTCAAATAGGGTCAACTCCTCCAGGCCCCATCCCAATGAGGTTAGTCACCTGACGAGGCCTTGAAAGGGGGTGTTTTCCATAGCTGCCCCCACTCTTTGGAACTCCTTGGCAGAGATTTGGTCAGTCTGATCCATTCTGGGCCTTAGGAGAACTTTGGCGACCTCCTTGCCTTATCTTCCGTAGGGCAACGTGTTGCAATTTGAAGGTGGGGCTGGGAGCGCATGGCGTTCTGGTTTGTTGTCTTTCTCATTTTATTTTTAAATGCATTGGGTTTTCCCAAGGCTGTTATTTTATATGTTGACATTACAGTATTAGCTGCCTGGAGCCTTTGGGAATGGGCAGCAATTTAAAAAAAGGGCAGCACAATATATAAAGGTAAAAACACAGTTTAAAATGATGTAACAGTTCTGGCTGTTGGCCTGCATTCCATAAAACTGCTTTTAAAAATGACTGTACCAGTTTCTTCTATTATTGAATGGGGAAGAACCACGATTCTTTTCTCTTATTGTAAAGGAAACCATTTTGTTGTCAAAGTTAACTGAACTATATATTTTCTACTGCTGTGCCAGCTGAGGTCATTCCAAGCTTCTCTGCTCTCCTTTCATTCAATTATGTATTTATAACCTACAATATATATCCTAATTGTAGGAAAAGAGAGAAGAGAAGCTTAGAATAACCACACCAGCTTTCCTCTGAGAAATGTCCTATTTTCAGTGAATAGGCTGTAAATCTAAAGTTGTTCATTATTTTTGCTTTGGTTTTATTTCTGCAGGGAACACCGTTAGCAACTTGATTTTCATTCTCCCTCCAATCTATGGTGCAATTCAAAGTTATAAAGATGGCCTTGAGAAACGATACATAATAGCTTATTTGTGTGTCACAGGTAAGTGAGTTTCTATTCCATCTGTGATTTAGTCAGATCAAATGATTTTTCTTCTACTTCAATGGCATCTTTAGTTTGAATGCCCAGACTGTGCCCTCATGAACCATTGCTTGAACAGTGTGGCACTTTTAAACATTCAACCCTGAAAACTAATGTGAGCTGTTCTAAGAAATTTTTGTATTCATCAGCTCTTTTTTCAAATCTATTTAGAATTTCATGACATTTCATTGTTTAACCTCTGCTTTGAATGCTGCAAGAAAGTCTGGAACTGGCCTTCCCCCAGCTATTCCTCCCCCATGATTTTCTCTTGCTATATAGGACTAGTTTCCAAATTCTAAAGGGCACCCTTCAGTACTCTAAAGTCTCTGTGGGATAGTGCATATTATTTGCAAATTGCTCAAGCATTTTATCTAGATTTCCCTAGAATTGTTTGTTTAGAAATTTTATGTGGCCTCACATGGCAAATAACTCTGGGCAGCTAACAGTAGAAAACCAATATAAAGCAGAACAAAGTACAGTTGCAAGAAAAAGTATGTGAACCTTTTGGAATTTTATGGTGTTCTGCATTAATTTGTCATAAAATGTGATCTGACTGTCATCTAAGTCAAGAGTATTGACAGATATAATGTGCCTAAAATAATAACACAAAAACAATTATGATCCTTCATGTCTTTATCGAACACACTCATTCAACATTCAAAATGCTAGTGGAAAAAGTAAGTGAACCCTTGGAATCAACAACTGGTTGACCCCCTCTTGGCAGCAATAACTTCAACCAGGCGCTTCCTGTAGCTGTGGATCAGACCTGCACATCGTTCAGGAGGGATTTTAGCCCATTCTTCCTGGCA